ATTATTTATTTTGTACTTAAATCCAGATGTTGCTGCATGTTCTTTTGAGAGAAATTTGGAGACGGATATTAACACCAAGGAGATTGTGGAGTCACTTGGACAAAGGGCTTCAGATGAGTCTGAACAGACAAGCACCTAAATCTACAAGCAAGAAAAAGAAAATTGATTATTTGTGAGAAATGGGATGAGGGAGAAAAAAACAAGGATGGTGATTCCTGCATTGACTACAAATTAATAATATCCATGATCACAATGCTGATCACCTAAAATAGCAATGAGATCAGATTTAAACAGCTTAGTGTTTAAAGTCTCTCTGCTTCTCATGTCATTTTAATGAAAAACATTCCACTTCTGCACATTTACAGCATTTTTAAGTAAGTGCAAATGTATCATTTGCCAGAAAGATCAACATTTATGTGCTTTCATCTCCAGATTGACTATTCTTGTATTATTCCAGTTCTCCTATTCTTGTAACTAGCAGATATGAGGAAAAGAGGCAAGCTACTGAGACTCCTGCCCTCAACACAGAAGTCCCTTGATTTAAAAATTCCTTGCACTTTAAAAGAGTAAGATTACGAGGCAATCAGTGCCCCAAAATAAAATGCTAGGTGAAAATGTATTAGACCTGTTTTCCACTTATCAGTGTTTTTATTTGCATATGGTCCCAAAAGATAGTGATCAAAATCCTGAATACTGGGAAACAATGGAGTCTGGGAATGATTTTTTTTTTTTTATATCTCCAACACTAACAGGGATGTTAATACAAAATGCATCACCCAGGGATTTTCAGAGTGCAGTAAGTTGAGGGGGTGAATGGTGGACAGACTAAGGAACAGAGATTTGATCCAGAGGGATGTTGCAAGAGGAAAAGAAAACTAGTGGTCCAAAAATGTGAACAAACAAGTGTCCCCATAGCTCAGAGGCTAATTTAGTGAACTAGAAAGAATCAAAGAAATGCTTCTTCCAAATACATCTGTGGATAGGAGGTAGAAGGACATTGCATTATTTTAATCATTTTTGGTGAATATTTTGAGTGTTAGGTAGAATTCGCCGCTGCTGTAACACAGAGAGATAATGCAGACTAAAATTTCAGAGAAGCTTCCAAAGTTTAATTGCCTGGCTCTTTTTTTTTTTTTTTTTAATTTCACAATTAGCATGCTAAAATACACTACAGTTTTTACTGTAGACTTGAGTTTTTGAATGCATAGAAAAACTGGATCTGAGCACATGTAACCAAACTCCTCTGTGAATTATGCTTGTGCATGTAAATGCAGCATCATCCTTTGTACAGTACCAGCATACTCACACAATGCCGAGGGACTGATTAAATGCTAATAATCTGCTTCTTTGGTTCCTCCTTCTACCCAGCTTCCCACAGCCATTCACTTCTCTATTTGGACTTACAGATGCTGAAGTGCTAAATATTATCTCTGTGCTTGGGTAATGTGGTCATAGGATTTAAAGAGATCCCATACAGTGTACATTTGAGCAGGAAAGGGCCTGGGCAAACTCCCTCTACCTTTCTTTTTCTCCCATAGTGGACCTGTACAGCCTGCTCATGTCTCTGCTAGTCTTCTTGTATCACTTTTGGGATTGCTCATTAATTTCAGTGAATGCTTTTTTCTGACATTCAAATTCAACTGCCAGAGGATATCACATCTCTCAAAAATATTGGGAGGTGGAGATGACTGTAACCCTGTCAGGAAGGTGGGTGTCGAAGAGTATCTGCAAACAGAGCATAGAACATGGAGGAGTTATATTAAAGGGGAGGCTTTGCTCAAATCTTTGTTGATGGTTTATTTCTCTCAAGAGCTGGAGCTCATATTAGTATATCACTGTTAATCAGTTTCTAGTTTTCTGCAACCATGGCTGGTTTTCTATGGGGCTGAAAAGCTTGCAAGCCACCACTTTTAAAAGAAATACTGTCTCAGCTTTAGTTTTTAAAATTTAAGAAATATTTAGGCAATATCTGTTATGCAATTCTCCTATCGTCTTTGAGATAGATAATTGAAATATTAACATGTCTTCAGGTATGAAAGAGCTAGGATACTTTGAACAATTTTAGCTTTATGTAGTTTATTTCTTATTAAATGTGAGGCTGAGACATGCATCCATCTTTTACCATGGAAGCAATTAGATGTACATACTTCTCTTATTTAAAAAAAAATGCTCGTGTAGCTTGTTTTACCTTTTACTTAAAGCAGGCTCTTCAATGCTTCAAATAAGTTACTAAACTACCTTAAGTCTGCTGCTTCCAGTCATGAAACCTCATCCCACAAATATGAGTGGTGAGCACTAAAACAAATGTGCCCCAAGAATGCAGAACATAAGCAAAAATTTGGAGGGGAGTGGTGGCTGTGGGTGGAGGAAAAAGGGGCTTTTCTTTCCATTGTTATAACCAATGTTGCATTTTTATGACATATTTGGCGAAAAATCAAAGATGGAGCATCATCTGGATAGCTTCTGGGAGAAGAGAGAAAGTTAAAAGATAAATGGGGAAGAGAATGGAGATAATGTGCAGAGAAAGGGAGGAGCCAGGAGGGGAATAGACAGACAGATAATTGGAACAAATGGGACAGTACTCCCTGGAGGAAGCTTCTCTCTATTCTTGCCAGGCTCACCTGATCTAGGTATACCTGAGCAGGTGAGGGGAGAGATCTCAGTGTTGTGGGCACTTCCAGCATGGAGACATTTGTGAAAGAAGAGATGTTGAGCGGCTACCCCCCTGAGATAACTTGGAGATTACACATTTCTGGATGCAGGTGTAGAAAAGATAGGTTATCTGGGGAGATGATATCCCACATCAGGCTTTATATAATTTTTCTGTAGCTCTGTTCTTTAAGGGTTGGGTTTGCACATCCTGTCTGTGGCAGGAGTTAGTGAATACTGTATAGTGACCTGAGGATCAGTAACTAGATAAAAATCATTTTGAATTCTGGCTTGCATTATGTCTTGACAGGCAAGAAAATCTCACACTTTAAGCAGCAATCTATTTAATTTCAAGCATGCTGCTGGTAAATTATGTATTCCAAACTGATAAATGTGGGATTTCCTGTGCCTCAAGCAATTTTGTTTGCCTTGGTGGTTTATGTTTCAGCCTTATGAAGCAATCCACCTGAAGAAGGACCCGAAAAAATTGACTGAGGCTTTTCTTCCAATATAGGTGTTCACAACCATAAGTCTACAGCAAATCCAAATGTGGCAGTAAAATCACACTTCATCCTGATGCTTAGATGTTAAATACAGATGTGTTTCTACATGCATTCTGCCATCCTGTACCTCTTTATTAGTGTTTCACTTAAAAACAAGCTAATGCACAGAAGATGAAAACATTTTGCGACATCATAGGAAACAGACTTTTGCATCAGATACAGACCCCACCAGAGTCTTCCTGATAGTTATCTGGAAATGTTCTTTCAAACAATTTCTTTGCAAACATTGCTCTCGGGTGTAGTGACTGACTTTGCTATGGGCTTTAAAATCCATTTGTGTTTTAGGCTTTGTTCAACCTACTTGTATTTCAATCCTCAGTTGCAATGTTTGAAGATGTAACAGCAAAACAACTTTTGCCCTTTTGTCTCTTCATGTTACTTTGACATTCTTTTCTTCCTCATTATCAAGGGCTTTTCCTGACAAACTGCTCACAAGCTGACTTTCAGCTCATGCCCAGTAAGCCTGGGGATATCCCTGTTCTTAAAGGTCTTGTGGGCCATATGGACTTCTAGGAGATTTATTGATGCTTCTGTGTCATTATCATTGTATGAGCTCTATTTCTTACTGATTCCAACTTTGTCTCCTGCTGATTTCCTTCATACTGAATGTTATTTTTCTGCCCAATATCTTAATTCTTGACGGTGACAGGGCTTCTGCAATCAACTCCATCATCTTTTCCTTCTCAATAATAAGATTACTAAGAAGTGTTTTACCTGGAAAAGAATTCTTTATTTAGGACATTTATTAAGCCATTTGTGACTTTGGGGCATGTTGGTTCTGGTCCTTATCCTGCCTCCATGTCTTAAAAATTATAAGAATCCTATTAGAGAGTATAATACAACCTTGCAATACATCTTGGAAATGGACAGCTAAGGCATGGAAAAGTAGCAAGGCAAAGGGGACCTGGGAGAGAGAACCAAGAGAAAATGTGTATTCTTTTGCTTCCCTTTCCTGTTCTTATTTTGCCACACATACAAGGCAGAACAGGCTTGTGCCACAAAAGGAGCAAGAGTAAATCAGAATCTGAAAAATAAAATCTATCACTTCAGCTGCAAGAATTCTGTAAGATTGCCAATACAGTTCTGAAAGTTTTGCTAATTGAAAATCAGTATTGAATCATTATTCTGAGAAGCTAAAGAAGAGAAGCAAATCTCTGGTAGCTTGTCTGCTTTCCTGTAGCCACTGGTAAGTTGTGCTGCATCTGAACCGGTGCGATGTTTCACAGAGGCTCAGAATCAGCAGCCCCTCCACTTTCTGCAGCTCCTGAGTCCCATTGGCTGGAAAGATAAGCAGAGGCGGAGAGTGCCCTGAATATTTTTCTCTTCCACACAGGGTAAAACAGGCAGCCAGCATGCACTGCCTGACAGCAAGACTAGTGCTCGCAGTTTGAAAATAGTTCCTGCTCTGCAGCAGTCACTTGGGCATTTTATGATCGCATCTCTTTAATGGAAAGCACCAAAAAAGCCTTGCAGCATCTCAGTGAACTAAACAGGAACTGACCATATGGGAGAATTTGATGCAAACATAGAGATTATTGGGACTCTGTGACACAGATCACCAAGGTAAATGTGATGATCAGAGACTGTGTCTGTAAGGGTGTAAGCCAGTTTTTCTGAATCTGAAATCTTATTTTTTCACAGTAGTGAAAGTGTTCTGAACTGCTGCCTACCTCGGTCCTAGCTTATTTTTCTTTTTTTTTACAAGCTGAAAAGTCAAAGAAGGTTTTCAGAGGAATGCAAAAGGAACAGGAGTTTTAAAAGCAGGAAGCTGAAAGGAATCACCGTAAGATGAATTTCACTCAGCATCGTGGGACATTCCAGCCTCTCCATTTCTGGAACCACAGCTACAGACTGCACGGAGGAGCCAGTGAGCCCAATGCAAAGGTCCACTCCTCAGGAGGCTGCTACGAGCAACTCTTTGTATCCCCTGAAGTGTTTGTGACTCTGGGCATCATCAGCCTGCTGGAGAACGTCTTGGTCATTGTGGCTATAGCCAAGAACAAGAACCTCCATTCACCCATGTACTTCTTCATCTGTAGCTTGGCAGTGGCTGACATGCTAGTGAGTGTATCTAATGGATCAGAAACCATTGTCATCACGCTGCTAAACAATACAGACACAGATGCACAGAGCTTTACCATAAACATTGACAATGTCATCGACTCAGTCATTTGCAGTTCCTTGCTTGCATCAATTTGCAGCCTTCTCTCAATAGCAGTGGACAGGTACTTTACTATCTTTTATGCCCTCCAGTATCATAATATCATGACAGTGAAGCGTGTAGGGGTTATCATCACATGCATCTGGGCTGCTTGCACAGTCTCGGGCATTTTGTTCATCATTTACTCTGACAGCAGTGTTGTCATCATCTGCCTAATCAGCATGTTCTTCACTATGCTCATTCTCATGGCATCCCTCTATGTCCACATGTTTATGATGGCTCGTATGCACATAAAAAAGATTGCTGTTCTTCCAGGGACTGGCCCTGTTCGCCAAGGGGCCAACATGAAAGGGGCCATCACTCTCACCATCCTGATTGGAGTTTTTGTTGTGTGCTGGGCTCCATTTTTCCTACACCTGATTTTCTACATCTCCTGCCCCTACAACCCTTACTGTGTGTGCTTCATGTCACACTTTAACTTCTATCTCATCCTTATCATGTGCAATTCCATCATTGATCCACTTATCTATGCATTCCGGAGTCAGGAGCTCAGGAAAACATTCAAGGAGATTATATGCTGCTGTAGCCTGAGAGGGCTTTGTGATTTCCCTGGCAAATATTAAACCGAATGGATGGATATGTTACTGTGTACACAACAGGTAGCACAGATTTTCAAGCCTTCGATCCTCTTTCTCAGCAGAGTTTCGTTTAATCTTTAAGAGAGAGCACGTCTTTCTGTCTCCACCCCCCCCTCCGTTCTTGTGTCCCATTCACATGGAATTCATATTTCTGTATAATGTTTATGATGTCTATAGTTTGTAATTTATTTGGCTGGAAAGGGCAGTAGCACTTCATAATAGTTTGTAAGCAAGCACATAAATGTAATGATGAATGTGAAACAGTAACAAACATGAGCAGCTATATATTCCAACTGCTGACAAAATAAATATCTTGCCTGACTTACAGTACATATTGGCTGATATTGTTCTTTATTTTGTTGAAGTAATTACAGCTATCCACTACATTATATTCAGCTAAGAATAGAGCATATGCCTCTACATTAGTGGATTAAAGGTTCTCTGGAATTAGAAAGCAGATTTTTCAGGAAGGCTAGTGAAACTAACAAATTGTATTTATTCATTTTGAACTATTTTTGTTTTGCTTCACAGCAGGAATTCTGGTTTTTGTTACAGTTATTGCCCACAAGAAGATTTTTCAAACACTTGCTCCACAGCCAGTTGAATGCTTGGGCTTTGGGCTGGGTTTGTTTTCAAGATGAAGATTGCTGTATGTCTGAGAGTACCTTTTTGCAAAATTTCAATTGCTCCCTGGAGCATCAGGTAGTCCTGGATATATCTGCTAGACTGGCATCCAGGTAGACTATCTCCCTCCATTCAGCCATGAAACAGGTACAATATTAACTTTGACAGTTCCAGCAGCAGTTTAAAAATTCACTGAGAGATTTACCTGGGGAAAATAAAGAGGGAAGTTCAATTGGAACATTCAGTCCTTGTTCTGAGGTGCTGTGGGGAATAAGGACTCTGTGCTCCAGATGAAAATACATCCTTGTTGAAAACAAGCTGCCTTCTATTCTGAAGTGTGGTGTTGGCAGAAGGGATCCACTGCCAGGATCTTTGCACAGGAGTGAAGGCAGGTGTTAATTTGGTGGGAGCACCTCAGCCCATAGTGTGGAGCAATGGGCTTTGGAGGGGCAGTGCTGGCACAGGGAATGAGTGCCTGCTGGTGAGGCTGGGTACCCATGCTCAGCATCCTGCACCTGCCTGAATTCAATTCACCTTTACAGGCATCTAATTGATGTGATCTCTGTTTCACCCTAAAATTCCACTCTCTCCACAGGTTGTTTTAAAGGCCTCAGGTTCCTGGTATTAGTACTTTTGGAGGCATTTAGAGTACAAATTTTACTACACAAGATTCCATGAAGATGTCCCTTAGTATCTTGAAGCTTCTGTAAGGAGAAAAAAATGTCATTTATTTATTCCTAGAAAGTATAAAGCATAGTGAAATTTGTAGAAGGTCTGTAAAGTTCTGATTTAAAAACTAAAAGTTAAAACACAACTCAGGTTTTAATCCTGTATGCTTGCTTTTACCATGATGAGCAGTGAATTACTGAAAAACAGGATGATCAATCCTATTTATTTTCTTGGAAACAGATCGTTCTCTCCAGTTGCTTGTTTCTTCATCAGAGAAAAACATAAAATGAAAAGCTATTCAAAGAGACCAATGTTTGCTCTCTCAGATTCTCCGGACAAAAGCTGATATTTCAGTTGTGGGTGACTTTTCAGGATATCATAAAACTATGACATTTGGTCCTCTGTTAAAGAGCGTGAAGGACTTAGGCTGAGTCTTAGTGTTTTTAACTTCAGCTATTTATAGGAAGAGCAAGAAAATTATTTGACTTCGGGCATTGTAGTCCCTTGGTAGAATAACAGCACCAAAATCAGGTTTCCTACAACCTACTCTGGTGCTTGGGCCAATCCATGGACCATGCTGCTTGCAACACATCACTATTGCCTTTTCTCAGCTTTAAAAAATTATATTTCCACATCATAACAGTCGTAGTGTGAAGGATATTGAAATATGTTTACTATATTAAATCTACTATTTTTTCTGGAAGAAACAATAAAGGTTTCAGTAATTCCTGATTCCACTGGGTAGAGAACAAAAAATGTCAAAGGAGGAGAATTAAAACCCAAACAGAGAAAGAAATTAACATATTTATATTAATATTCTATCAAAAAATCCAGTGGGCTTTACTAAAGCCCTTTCTTTCTTCCACAAGACATAATACAAAAATGCTCAGGTAGTAATGAAAGAAAATACTGATGCCAGTTTAAACAAGGCATAAATCCTACTTATTTCTGCATTGCCTCACTTTCTATAGCAGTTTTAGGACTGTAAATTATGACACTGGGGGCTCCAGCTTTTTCTTTTACATTTCATGGGTGCAGAGAGGGCCCCGATAAAAGTGACCACAGAGTGAACTACTACTTTAGGTGCTCTGAACATTACCTTAAAGCTTCTATTTCTCCCCTTCAGATGTACAAGGAGTAGATACGTCTGAATTCTGAAGAGGCTGTGTTTCAAAAATCCCAGTGTGTATCTCTTTAATGCTTTTTTGGACTAATACTGGTCAAGACAGTTGTGACCCCCTTAGGCTTTAGATTTCATTTATAAATATAATTTTTAAAACTAGCTTATTCTAGATCTTTAGCAGCTCTGAGTTGCTTAGCAGCACTTGTCTTTATTTCATAATGATAAATGTATATACATATTTTTTTAATGGAATTTCTAATTAAAAAGGACTTTTTCATTTCATAGTATCACTATGGAGAGAGCAATTCATTGAAATTGCTGGAACAACTGCTACATAGATAATTTTCCTATTCCAAAATTGTCTGTTTCTTCTGAGTAGCTGAATCAGTTTGCCAGAACCATAGAAATTATTGTTGTGAAAGAAAAATAAATTTATCTAGCTTGTTGGGGAGTGGGAGGATTATTTTCCACAGTCAATTTTCTGGAGCTTTATTCTTCTATTTAAAAATATTCCAAGAAAATGTAATTTCTTTCGTTAAATGACTGGGACTGTAATTGCTTTAGCACTTGGCATTTTGGTCATGTTAAGTAACTGTAGTGGGCTGACCCTGGTTGGATGCAAGGCACCCATCTAAACTGCTCTCTCATTCTCCTCTGCAGCTGGACAGGGGAGAGAAAATATAATGAATAGTTCAGGAGTTGAGATAAAGACCACGAGAGATTCTCTAGAGTGATTTGTTCATGAGCAAAACAGACTCAAATTGGAGACATTAATTGAATTTATTACTAACAAAATCAGACAAGGATAATGAGAAGTAAAATAAGAGATTTAAAGCCCCTTCCCTACACCCCCCACCCTCACTCCCTCAGCTCTACCTCCTCTCCCCTGTGGCACGGGGAGACAAGGAATGAGGCTTATGGTCAGTTCATCACACTTCTTCCTTCCACGGCTCAAGGAGAAGAGTCCTTCCCCGGCTGCACCGTGGGATCCCTCTCAGGGGAGACAGTTCTCCATGAACTTCTCCAATGTGAGTCCATCCCACGGGCAACAGTTCTTCACAAACTGCTCCAGCATGGGTCACTATTCCACAGGGAGCAGTCCTTCAGGCACAGCCTGTCCCCATGGGTCACTGTTCCACAGGGAGCAGTCCTTCAGGCACAGCCTGTCCCCATGGGTCACTATTCCACAGGGAGCAGTCCTTCAGGCACAGCCTGACCCCATGGGATCACAAGTCCTACCATCAATCCTGCTCCAGTGTGGGCTCCTCTCTCCATATGTCCACAGTTCCCAGCAGGAGCCTGCTCCAGCCTGTGTTTCCCACAGGTTCAGAGCCCTCTCTTGGGCATCCACCTGCTCTGGTGTGGGTCTCTTCCATGGCTGCAGGTGGATCTCTGCAGTCCCATGGACCTCCCCAGGCTGCAGGGGAATCTCAGATCCAGTGCCTGGAACACCTCCCGCCCCTCATTCTGCTCTGACCTTGGTGTCTGCAGAATTGTTCTTCTCACATGTTCTTACTCCTGTCTTCTCTGGTCACAGTTATATCTGCCCAGTAACTCCTTTTCTTCCTCTTAACTATGTTATCACAGCGGCATTGCCATTGTTTCTAACTAGCTCAGCCTTGGCCAGCAGCAGGTCTGTCCTGGAGCCAGCTGGCATTGGCTCCACAAGACCTGCAGGAAGCTTCTGGCAGCTTCTACATCAGCAGTTGATGCAAACCCAATACAGTAGCAATGGCATGTTCCTCTGCAGCAAGGAAATGGTTTTGTTTCCACTTTACAGGTGTAAGGATTTATGTTTTCAGTTCTGCTGAAAAAGAGTCTAATGGATTTATTCGTCCTCCAAGAATGAAGTCTTTTCTGGAGCTAGAAATTGATGGTAGTGTTCTCCACATGTTCCCAATAAATGACTTCAATGTTAAACACAAAACGTTTGAAGGAAGTGTCCGTCTTCTTCAACACAGACATTTATTTAACTTTGAAGTAGTTTTAGAACAATGCAAAAGATTCTGAAAAGCATTTAGAGGCTGTAGTTGGTCTCAGTACAGCAGATTTTGGATGATGACCCAAAGTCACTTTTACACCTGAAACATGCTGATATGTGGAAGCAAGGATAAATGCTCTGATATATTCACATCACTGAATGTGCAGCAATGCTTTCTGTTATGCCTTTAAGAGATTTGTGCTGCACATGTTATTAATGTAATCCTAAAATTACTCAGTTGCTGTTAAATTGATCCTGTTATACTGTGTGTTTTTTGGGGCCTCCTCCATCCTCAAACCGAATTCTGATGAAGAACTTTGATGTTATTTATAATACACTGCATTGCTTACAGGCTTACATAAGAATTGCAGTCTCAATCCCACTGGAAGGAGCTCTCAGAAAATGCATCCTTGGGAATGAAATCTTCCTTGTTCATCCAAAAATTACCTTAGATTTTAAATTAATATTCTGATCCCTTTCATCATATCTCAAGTATCGTGAAGTTTTCCCTTTGGATAAAATACAACTAATTTACTGAAAAAGGACTTCATATATCATAGAAACCCTTGACTACTACTACACATGCTC